TCAGATTCCGCTGCTGGAAGGGAACATCTGCCGGACGCCATCCCATCGGCTCCCAGACCCATAAATGCTGTGTATTTGATCATCAAGGCACTTTTATGGAGAGTGTGCTGCACCCCCTGTGCTGAGAAAACACAGCTCTTTAATAGCTGCGATAATAAAACCTGACTTTGGCCTCCCAGCTCTCTGGGAAGGAAATTAGTCTGATTCCGTTTTCCTTCCCTGTTAAATTCTCAGACTCCACTATCTGCAGATCAGCGGACACTCGGTGTGGTTCAAAACGTCCAATTAATCAAGGGACTATAAGACCAGCTGGAACATTTCAGAGATCCCAGTTGTCTCTCACAAGGGTAATTAAAAAAAGAATGTTTAAAAAATTGACCACTCTTTGGGAACATTCTGATTCTGAACAACAGTTTAAGAGACTTCAACCAGGTGTCTGGCACAGCTGTCAGAAAAGGAGCTTCTGGAACGATCTGGTCTCTCTCAACCCAGGCTACAGCAGTCTCCACCCGCTCCCACTGCCCTGGGAGGGCTCAGTGCAATCCTGCCATGTTGGCTGGGTGCTTATCCCCTTGCACTGCATGTCAGAGGCTTAATGAGGTGGTCAGCATCTACTGGGCAGAGGGTGATGCCAGCCAAGTGACTATGCGGGGACTTTCACCTTGAAGAACAACCTCCCTTCTCTTCAGCCCAAGTTATAAGCCCACCTCCTCCTATCACTGCAGATTGCTCCAACCATCTCTCAACCCCCCAGAACACCTCCTTGCAGAACAAGAAGCATTTTAAATCTATAGACACTCACAACATAAATCACTAAAGGCAAGAACACATCTTTTCTATTACCTTTTCCCAGGACCGGCTTTATTTTTCTCTAGGTTCTGCAGGGTTTTATCTCTCCGGCCTGCCCTTCATCACATACTTGGTTAGGTTTTTTATCTAATGTCCTCTGCCTGTGAATGGAAGCTCCAGGAAGAAGGGATGTGTGTCTGTCATGTGGCCGGATTTTTTGCCTGACACTCAATAGGCACTCAATAAATCATGCATGAGTGAGTGAATCACCATCAGAAAATCCTTTGATGAATTCATCTGCTTAGTCCTTTCTTCATTATTCCTTTCACTCATTCAGCCTGAACTCACGGAGCACCCACTGTAGGCCAGACCCTGGTGCTGATGCAGAACAGCTCAGGTTAGGGTTGTAGGCTGGGTAACCAAGGGAGGCTTCATCGAGGAGGTGGCCTGGCACATTTAGCCAAGTTTGGGTGGAAGACAGGTGACAGGGCAGCCCAGGTAGAGTGAAGCCTGACTCCTAAAAGGAACAGTAACATCCAAGGAAAGGGACTGATAACCCACCCTATCGTATAACGGAGAAAGTTGATCTTTCCTACTCTTGGGCATCACACAAGAGATTTGCAGGAGCCTCGAGGTGGCAGGACTGCAGAGACCATTTCATCCGGCCCAGTCCACAGAGGGGAGAGCGAGGCCCAGAGACGCTGCAGACTCGCTCATCACCAGTTCACAGTGACTGTCTGGGCGGGTCCAGACCCAGCCCCAAACCCCACGTTCTTTCTCCCTTGGCATCCACTACTGATCCTCACCCACATTGCCCCAGAAGATGCGGCCATCAGGGTGGATGTGCTGTGGAAGAGCTCCGGTGTGCATCAGAGAACGTAAGCATCAGCTGACTTACAGAGAGACGCACAGGGGAGACCATCGCCAGCAGCCAGTAAGGATGCTGTGAGCCACATGCCAAGGATGCAGTCTGTGGATACTGGTGGCTGGAGTCCAGCCCACGCTCCTGGCTGTGAGAGAATAACCCAAGAAAATCCCTCCGATAAAGAAATGCGGGTCTGTCCAACCGAGGACAGAAATGCAAGCAGGGAGGGGTCTGGCTCAGGCGACCACAGTCCTGAGGCAAGGCGGCGGCGAAGCGTGGTCACTGGGAGCCCCAGCCTCCCGCTGCAATGGACACCATCCTCCGCCTTCTGCTGTGCCTCATTCGTAACCAACATTAAGTCCTGAACGTGAGACCCTGGGTGGAACCAAGGGAGACACAGAAATACCCAGCTGAAAGTCAGCCAGCTTTCCCGCCCAGCCCAGTCTGGTAGGGATTTTCACTCCATCCCTGAGCCCACCAAGAATCTGTCCACCTCATAAGCTCCTCAATCCTGTATGAAGAGAAATCAGAGGCATTCGCCCACCCCAGCTTTAAGAAGCAGCGACCCAGGCAAGTGTGCCATTAAGACAACCCAGTAGCAGTCGCATCCCTGCAGAGCTCACCATCTCACCACCAGCCCTTCCCGTGTCCCCAGGGAACCCCCAGGCAACCCCCAGGCCCCTGCACCACAGCCCTGCCCATTCCAGGAGAAGGAGGCCAGCCTGTTAGCCCAGATCCTTCCCCATTAAACCTTCCTGCATACAGAGCCCACAGGCACCCCACCTTCCTCGCCTGAATGCAGGCAGGATGCCCACCCAGGGCAGGGGCACACCTCTCCCCAAGACAGGTAAGCTTCTCAGCTTTCTGGCCAACCTTGAGCCAACACACGTGGCCTTGCTCTCTAAGCGCCCCCTCCCTGCCCTCCGAGTGCCCCTCCCTGCCCTCCGAGTGCCCCCTCCCTGCCCTCCGAGTGCCCCCTCAGTTTCATCAAGACCCCAGCTCCACCCTTGAAGGATCACATCTCTGCAATGCACTGAATGGTGGTCCCAAAATAAGAACCTGCCCTAGTCCCCAGCCCCTGTGACTCTGACTTTATCTGAAGAAAGGATCTTCCCGTGGGACCCCGGGCTGTCTGGAAGGGCCCGAAATCCAATGGCAGGTGTGCCTGCAAGAGAAAGAAGAGAAGACCCAGACCCAGGGGAGAGGCCACGTAAAGACAGGTAGAGGCTGGGCTGAGGCGGCCACAAGCCGTGGGGTGTCAGGAGCCCCCAGAAGCTGGAAGCGGCAGGAAGGATCCTTCCCTAGAGCCTCAGGGAGAGACAGCAGCTCTGCACACACCTTGACTTTGGGCTTCTGGCCCCCTGAACTGCAAGAGAATAAATTTCTATTGTTCTAAGCCTCCAGTATTTGATCACTGTTATGGCAACCCCGGGCCCTCACACGGGCTCTCTGGCTCTTCTTTACACCATGGTAGAGGCCTTCCCTGGGGACGACGGGTCTCCTGATGCCCTGTCTCTGCTCGGCATTTTGCTAACGTGGCTGCAACCAGGTACCCCAGCGGAATCCAGCACCCTGGGGCCCCCACACCTGCCCCTCTGAGCTGCCCATGGGCTCATCTGACCTCACGTGCTGGCAGCACTCCACATGAGGGGATGGAGCAGTTTGGGGCATCAGACCAGAAGGGTCCGGACAGGGAGCCCACCCTGTGGACCCCACATCTGCCTGCCAACTCTCAGGGCAAAGGGGTTAACAGTCTGTGGCTGGAAACCCCTCGTCTCCCAGAAAGGCTCCTGCAGACTGCCCGGAGGCCCGCCAACAGGCCGCCCTCCGAGGAGCGGGCCCGGGCTGCAGGGCACCCTCGGACAGACACTCCTCTATTTGCTTTGCTGTGATTCACGTAGACCAGAGAGCCGCCAAGAGCCAGGGGCTTAGAGGCTGGGGCTCCAAAAGACTCAGCAGCCGCCTTCATGGGGCTTTCAGACCCTCAAACACCAGCCAGGCGCCAAGAGAGGGAAGCCGCTGCAGGAGAAGAATCGAGGCCCAGAGGCCGGGGTTCCAGCCTCCCCTGGAGGTGGAAGACACCAGGAGGCCCCGATCCTGCTGCGGGAGCCTCCCCCTCCTCCCCCTGGTGCCCCCACCCCACGGCCCCACCCCGGGGCGCACCTTGAACGGCTCTGTCCCCGGGAGAGTTGGACATCCCCGTCCACCCTGTGCCTTTAGTTTCTGGGGCCCCAGAGCCCAGAATAACATCCAGCCCATGAATGAGCGCAGGAATGGCTTGCTGTTTTACACCATACGATGTTTTCCAGTTAAACATTCATGGCACTGTTGTTAACTAATAATTATTTCCTGGGGCTCAGGAGAGGAGAATACGCAGACAGACAGTGGTATACGTGACCTCCAGATGCACCTCTGTGGCCTGGATTCAAGCCTCCGGACATGGGCGCCTCAAGCGGTCACGAATTCCCCTGCCCGCCTCGGGGCGCCTGCTTGCTGCAGCAGGGAGCCCCCTGCCTCTCCCCAGCATGGGCCCAGGCAGGTCCCACGCGTGAGGGTCCTGCCCAAGGGCACCTGCCGTGCAAAGGACGGGAGAGGGCCTCCTGCCCTCAGGCTCCCATCACGGGCTGGGGAGACTCGGGCCTTCGGAGGCTGACCCAGGCCTTGGGGATGACTGACGGGGGAAGGAGGTCAGAGCAGGCTGCCCTAAGGGACTCAGGGGCCCCAAAGGACAACAGGGACAGACCCCATTTGAAATCATATGTGTAGCAACCACAGAATTTGAGCAAAGTTCCAACATAAAATAAGGGATAGATCACGGTCTCCAAGAAGGCTCAAGCTCCCTCTCGCAGCGAGATGGAGTGGTGAGTGGGGGCAGGGCGGGGGGCCCCCAACTGGGCTTCTCCGCCCTCCCTGGGCTCACATTAGTGGCCCCGGCCGCTGTGCCAACTTCTTCCTTGTGGCTGAGCTCACTGAAGTTTGTCCCCACATTTCCAAGCCCAGACCCACCAGGCATCCAGGCCAGGCAGAACCTGTTGCCCCCCAGCCTAGTCCGAGCTGCTGCCTGCCTTCCAGAACTTGCTTTCCTCCCGTCCTTCTAGAAGCTTCTAAAATCTCTGCTTTTGGTGGATCTCAGAGTCACCAGATCAGTAACTAAAGGGGTTATAAAAGGGATAAAAGGCACACAGAACAATGGCAGGTGCCCCCCCACAGCCGCAGGAGCCTGGGGAGACTATCTCTCAGATTTGCATTAACATCCTGGGAAATGGGAAACAGTGTAAAGCGCAGCCAGTTACCTGCCTGCCCAGGGCATTCAGGCTGAGCCCCATGTTTCCTGCTTCCCTCCACACAGGAGGGTAAATTGGAGGAAAACGTTAGTGCAGAGGACAGCTTGGAATCTAACACTGAGCAGACTGTCCCCTCAAAGGCGGCTGCCAGCCCTCCTCACACTCAGCTGGCAGTGCCCAGGCATCCTGGTCTTTGGCAATTTGCAAGGCCACCTGCTCCAGAAAGCCATCTCAGCTGCTCTGACACTCGCCAGAGGCAAGGCCCACACCTGCTCTCAGCACAGACTTGATTCTGGCGCATCCGGACACGTTTTGTTCGGCTCACCACCACCAGACGTCTATTCCATTCAGTCTGGATGTGCTCCTCACGTTTCTCATTTTTCTGAGACCGGTGGGAGTGGGTCTGCAGGGCACATCCATCTTGCGCCAATGATGTCACATACAGAAGTTCACTCAGCCAGCGTCATCCATCCAAACCTTTTATTCGGTTGTGATTTCAACCCTGCAGAAAAGACACAAGAATGGTCCAAGGGACACCCAGGGAGCCTTTGCCCAGATTAACTAATCGCTCACATTCTGAGCCACTCACACTGCCGTCGCGCCTTCTCCCTTCCGAACGGGAAGAAGAGACCAGTCTTCCAAAGCCGTGGCCCGGTTACCAAAACCAGGAGCTTGGACCTTGATGCCATCCGGCCCACTGGCCACCAGCACAAGTGCACTTTCCCCCAGATGGCCTGGGGGACCTGTCACAGCCTCTCTCCCCCCCAACCCAGGGGCCCTCCTTTCCCTGTCCCTTTGGGTTTCTTCAGTCCAAAACAGTCCCTTATGTTTCTTTCTCTTCTTGACCTTGACACATCTAGAGAGAAAAAGCTGTGACTTTGAGAAGGTCCGCTGTCTGCTCTGTGCTTGCTCATGAGCAGGGCCAGGTGATGGGCTTTAGCAGGGCTGCATGAGGTGATGCCATGTCAGGAGACACAGCGCATCCCACACCGGCGCAGGCCTTGGACCTCTGCTCGAGTTCCCGCCACTGTCAAATGACCCTTCTTCCCGTCATAACTAATAAGTAAGGTGCAGGCAGATGTTCTGATTCCACAAATATCACACTCATGGAACCTTCACCCTCCAGCTTCAGCACCATCAATGGCTTTCCAAACCCTTCATTTGGGGGAATTCTAAGGTAAGGAGAGCTTTCCCCTCTCCCCAGTTTACTGATTGATTGATTGGTATCACTACGTTTTCATTGCTTTTATTTTATTCAACGGACTGAACTCCATTACTCTTGTCACGTCTTCTGGTGCCCAGATTGTCCCAGATGTGGCCTGCGGCAGCCCCCACGAGCCAACCCCGTGTCATGCTCACAGCCCATTGCTGTTTGGACACTTTGTTATTTTCTGGGGCACCAAGACATTCCAGACTCGCCCTGTGCTTTCCCTGCCTGGGGCCTGAGATCAGCCTTTTCCTCAAGGACCCCTGGTTCCTTTGGAAGGAAAACGGTATTAGAAGCCACAGCCTGGGCTCTAAGGAAGGCGTGCTCATTGAAACCGGGGTGTCACCACCTCGGAGCTCTCTAGGTAGAGCTAAGCGATAGATAATAGATGATACATTAGAGAGGTGATAGGAAAATAGATAACTGACAGGGAAGGGAGGGATGATGATGGCGATGATGATGGTAAACAGATACATGATGGAGAGATAAACAATAAGAGAAGAGGAAGGGGGATGAGGGGAGGGGGAGAAGACAAAGAAGAGAAGAAGAAAACAGAAGGAAGATGGAATGGACATACATGTATTTATATAAATCTCTATGATATAAATATAGAGAAATGCATGTATCTATATATACTCCTTCTGTATGTGTGCATATACATATGTATATATTATGTGTATATATGTTTGGATCTCTCTCTACACACACACACACAGAGATAAATTTGCTCTGATAACTCCTATTCCAATGCACAAGCTCCATTTCAATCTTCCTTCTGTCCATATTTGTAATTCCCTTCCCCACCGCTGAGAGATTCGGCTCCCATTAGCCTTGATGTATTTACTCCTGTGCCCAACATTGGAATAAAGAGAAAATAGTTCTAGCAATAGGCTAACCCACACCACTGAAATAAGCAAGCCAGCTCTCTGTGGTTCAAGATGCACTTACAAGGTATTTTTTTTTTTTCAGGTAAAATTCACATGCTATGGATTGCACAGATCCTAAGGGGACTATTTCACAAGTTTTGGCAAATGTACGTGCCCACGTCACACACACCCTTTCCAAGATAGACAACACTGACATCACCAGGATAGTTTCCCAGTAAACACCCCCAAAGGCAACCTCTGCTCTGATCCTTTCACTTGTCCCAGAACTTCATGCAAACGGTATCACGCGGTATGTATCCACTGTGTGCATCTTCGTTTACCCAGCGTAGTGGCTGCAGGCGGCGCCCGTGTGCGGATACGGATACTGCTTCACCCTCGTCACTGTGGTTCCTGTTCATCGCTGAGGGGTTCTGTTGTGTCACTACACCACTGTTTGTTCATCCGTGTTCCTGTTATGGCCATTTGGGTTATTTCCAGTTTTTGCCTATAATAAATAAAGCAGATATGGACATTAGTCATGTACATGTCTTTGGGTGGACATACATTATTCCTCTTGGGTAAAACCTAGTTGTATAACCAAGTCATAGGATAAATATGTAACTGACTTTATAAGAAACTGCTGAGCTGTTTCCAAAGTGTTATCTGCCCTGCTTTTCTTCCCCACCCCAAACGAGGGCTCAAGCTGGTCATGTCCTCAGCGATCCTCCCTCGGTATCACCTTCTCTCTGTTTATACTCATGCTAGCAAAGACGTATTGGTATTGCTTTTTTTTTCTTAATTGCTGAGCATGTAGGCTTTTAAAAACTTTATTTGACATTGCAATGATGGACATCCTGGAACATACATCTTTGTATTTATATTTTACCATTTCCTTAGGGTAGACTCCGGGAAATTCAGTAACTGCTCAAAGAATACGAACTTTCAGAAGTCCCTTGAAGCTGCCAACTACGCCCCCACTAGGCAGCCATCAGGATCACCTGTCACCCTGACTCGTACCAGGATTCAGCATGCTCATTAAGAAAAAAGTGTGGACCATTTTCAGACTGTTGTACTGCAGTATAATGTGCCTTTAAGCAAGTGTCAAATCAAGTGTACATCGGTGACGATCAACGAGAAGTCACTGAGCAGCCCTAACCAGGTGTGGCTGCTGGGTAGGGACTGTGGGTGTGGGCGACTGTCATCCAGAGTAGTGACCACTCACTGGACTTGATATGGACTTGGGTTTCCTACCCAGATAACTTGCAGGGAAAAGTCCACAAATCCAGTCATGCGGTTCCTACGACATCAACGCTGCCATTCAGAAAGCGCCCTCGAGCCCTGGGTCATCTGCACAGGCCTGCGGCTCCCCTCAGTGGCCCTCTCGGCAGAGACGAGATGTCAGAGCACGGCCGTGGCAGAGCAGACGGGGGTCCAGGGCTGCCTTCCCGCTGCGTTAGGAAAAGTGAGAGGGTCAAAGAGAAAATGCATAATTCTTCAGGCCTCCCCAGTACTGTCCTTCTGGTAAAAGACCCAAGCATTCAAAATTCTAGAGGCAAAAAACACTCGGCTGTGGAGATTCCCAGGCCAAGGCACCTTCTCTGAGCCCCTCTGTGACTCCGAGTTCCACCCTTGCTCCCAAAGGCTGACGTCACTTGTTCTCCTCTGCAGCACCTGGGGCCCGGCAGGTGCCTTTCACCTGGGCCATCCGCCACCCCGTTCTCTTTTCTTGGTGCCAGTGAGCCAGGTCTGGTGCCCACCCTGGCTGCCTCTGGCCCTCTTCTCTGGCTGGGTTTGGGCTGGCAATGGCTTGCACATGCAGCTGGCCATGCCATACGGCAGAGAGAACAGAGGACAGCCACTGGCCTTGCCCAGCCTGTCAGCACGTGCCTAGCAGAGAGGGGGCCAAGTGCTGCCACCATCCTCTGGAGCTGAGTGTCTTTGGTTAAAGCATAGCTAGGGGGAGGGCCTGCTCAGTGGCCCACTAGACCCTTTCAGCTCTGGCACTTACACCCAGGAACAAGCTGGAAAGGATGTCAGCTCAGGAAGCCCTTTGCAGATGCCCAGGGCTTGGTGTGGGCCAGAAGTGTCAGGGCCGGCTGGTGCTACCCCTGCAGGTTGTCATCAGAAAGGGCTCTTGATGCCCTGCTGACCCGTATTAATGGGGCTGCAGAGGCCAGAAAGAGGGGACGGTGCCATGAGGCCCGTCCTCATCTCCCTCTTCCCAGGCAGGAGGAAGGAGGCTTGAATCTACAGACCGTAGCCGGCAGGGGAGAAGCCATGTGGCTTGCTGTTCCTTCCTAATCCCTGATTTCCATCAGGGCTGAGGGTCTCAGTATGAGTTCCAGCCTGTTCTGAACTGGAAATGATGAGTTACATAATACAATATTAAGGCTACAAATCTTCCCAGTAGCAGAACCCATAAACCCTGGTTTTTAATATCTACTTACAGCACAGACCCTGGCTGTTCCTTCAGCACAGTACAATTATCCTACAATTACTGTTATATTGTTAAGTAAATAGTGTGCCGGAAGCGGCAATTCTAGGGCTCATAAATACAGGAGCAAATACAGGCGAGGCCAGGAGCCAACGGAAGGAGACAGGACACAAACTGGGGGGTGAGCACAGGTGGTCAGACCCCCGTGCGGGGACGCGACCCTCAGAGGATGTGCCTTGGTGGGTACCCCGAATCCCAGCACGAGGGCCCCCTTTACAAAGGCTGTCACTCCGTGGGTACTTCCAGGGCTTTTCCAGGAGCCAAGGAGTATGTGAGTGAACACAGGGAACCAAGCAAACTCATGCCTTTTTATTTTTCCACCAGCATGCTCGTAGCAGCTTTATTCACAGCAACCAAAACTGGAAACAGACAAGTAATCCATCTACAGGAGAGCAGATAAACACACGGTGGCAAATTCACACAACGCAATGAACTGCAGATCCACGCAGCACCTGACAGTGGGCGACAGAAGCTGGGAACAAGAGTAGAGACCAGATGGCTCAGTGCCTGAGGTTCGAACAGGTGCACCTAATCTATGGCCTTGCAAACTCCAGCCACTGGCTCCAGAGGGGATGCACGGGGCAGGGGAAGGAGGGAACTTTCCCAGGTGATGGTGACATTCTGTCTCTTGACAAGGGTTCGAGTTACACAGGTGTGTGCATTTGTCAAAACTCAGGTGGCAGCTCCAGTAGCCCCTAGAACAGTGGGACAGACAGCTGTGGCCTTGACTCCAGCCAACACCCAGGTGGGCAGTGTCCAGGCCAGAAAGCTAATGTGCATGAGGGCAAGTCTCACCTTCCACCCCGAGGCTCTAGGAAGGGTAGGCTTTTCTCTAAAAGGCTCAACCTCTTCTGCGCCTGCTGGGGTGGGATTGGCCCCGGCAGATGGAAAGAACATTCCAGAGACCTGTGGGCATGCTCCTTCTGCATAGCAGCTGGAGCTTGGGCTCTGGGGACAGTGCATTAAAACTTCTCTGTACCAGAAGCTTGGGGAGTACAATCTCAGTTCACAGCACAGCACCAATACTTCCTGCCACATTCCCATGTCTGTCTCTTGTTTTGTCTCCCCAGGGTAACCCGGGTAGGGCGAGCAGCTCCACTGTTGAGAGAACAGTGACCCACTGATCAGAAAGGCCGAGTAAGCAGAGCCCAGGGTGGAACGCTGAGGAGACAAAAAACTTAAAATCCCCAAGTTCCAGAACCTTCTGGGCCTCTTTTCTTAAAAAGTACAAAATAGCTAAAGCAAACTAGTTATGTTCTAAGGCAAAATGCATTCACCATCTGTGGGAAGCAGAATAAAGGCCCCCTAATGATATCCACAAACACCCTGATCCCCAAAACCTGTGAATACACCAGGTTCTAGCCATGGTGAAGGGAAGGAAGGCTGTAGACAGAATTAGGGTGTGAATCAGCTGACCTGGAGATGGGGAGGTTGTCCCAGGTGACCCAGGTGGGCCCTGTCAGCATGAGGATCCTTTACTGGGGCAGAGAGAAGGCAGTACCAGCAAGGGGGCACGGCTGCTGCTCGCCCTGACCCTGGAAGGAGGACCACGGGCCAAGATACAGGGGCCTCTGGGGCTGGAAAGCAAGGAAACACCTCTCCCTGTGGCACCCAGAAGGAACCAGCCCTGCCGACGCCTCAACTGCTGCCCGGGGAGACCAGTTCTGATCTCCAGAACTGGAAGGTAACCTATGTGTGTTATTTTAAACAAGCAAGGCTGTGGCACTTGTTTGGGAGTAACAGGACACGTTAATGCATCTGTTCCCCACAGTAAAGAGGTGCTCCAGGCAGGGCTTCTCCCTCGGCCCCTTCCCCATGTGAGGCTCTGGTCTGCACTCAGCCGGAGACCCTGACAACCCAGACCTGATCCAGAGATTCCCACCAGCCCCACCCAGCTGGCCCAGCAGCCTGGACGCCTCTGGACATGTCCCCAGGAAGTCGGCTCCCAGGATCATCTGGGCCTGAAGGGCTTTCCCTCTTCGGCCCTATGTTCTTACAGAGAGCTGGGAACCAGACACCCAGTGGAGTCTGTTTACAGTTAATGAGATGATTACCAAGCACAGATTGCGGGAGGAGCAATATCGTTTCTTATAATAACGTCTTCCAACAGGCTACTTTCCAACACGTCTGTTTGTACCCACTGTTTAAATTGAACATACGCTTTTTTTTTAGTTCTATTTGCATTATCTTATCGAGCAATCATTCCCTGGAACATCATAAAACAAACATTAATTAGGGCTCCGATTGGTGCAATCTCCTCAAACGCTCTCAACCATACCACAGGCCACTCTGTCCTCGGGATTCTCATTTTAAGAAAGTTGGTAACAGAGCCATTATCTCAAGCTCAGAACACCAAATGCTCCCTGACGCCTTGGGTACATGGGAAATGGGCAGCAGGAGGGCAGATGGGTGACGGGGAGCCGGAAGCCTGCCGGCAGCCCACAGTGAAACCCACGCGTGGCCAGGTCATCAGGGGTGCGTGCCGAGCAGCACACGATGGCCTCACGCTGGCCCAGATGCCGCCTGGCTCTGGAAGCCCCGCACATCACCCCAGTAGCCACAGGATCAGGCCCCACCCCCTCCCCAGAGGGACACTGGCAGGAGCCCAGGTTTGGTCATCAGATGAATGGGAACCTCTCTGGCCGTCTGTGTCCTAGTCTCTAAAAACAATCAGGACATTCACAGAGCGACCAGCTTGGCCCTGTTTGCCCAACATTTTCCTGTTTTAGCCCCCCCGAGTGCAATTGCTTCCCAGGAATTCCTCCGTCCCAGACACACCAAGAGGGTCCGTGACCCTGACTCACAGCTATTCTGGGCCCAGCCTCCCGTTTCTAGAGACATGGAAGACAGGGAACCAGACCCAGCAGCAGACTCCCAGGCCCCGAGGTGGGGTCTGAGTCTAGAGCCCTTCAGTGCCTCTCTTGACACTTAAACCCACAGCTCTGGATGGTGCATTGACGTGTGCTGTTCACTCTGGACCATACAGTCCTACAAAACCTGAGTTCTTTAAA